GGAAACAAACCTGAAGTTTACCAAATTTTAATTATTATTTCCATTTTATTATGATAAATGTCATTTGTCAAACAGTAGAAGTTGGCCACTATTGGGCAGAAACGCAGTTCTCGGCACTGTCAGCTGTGGATGGCCTGGGGGTCTCTGCACTGCTCACGGGGGCTTCTGAGAGCTTGAGGGGGCAGCGAGCTTGCAGCAGGAGCACTGGTTAGAGGAGGGGAGGAGCTGCAGTGTGGCAGCAGTTCCAGCAAGACGAGTGGTCGTGGCGTCCTGACTAGCTCTACCAGCGTCAGATGTTGCCCCTCGGGTGCTGTCTCTAAGTCATCAAGTCTCTCTCACTCTCTGCTAGTTGCCGCCTGAAGTCCACAGCTGTCCCCTTCGATGCCTGCACATAACCCTTCATTGATGTGACGGATGGTGATCGACGGTGAAGCAGACCGCTTCCTGAGACAGATGCTTAAGTACTTTCAGAAACAGACAATGTTACTGGCTTTATTTTTCTTTCTTCCCTTCTTTGTTTCTTTCTTTTCTAGGGGACAGGTAGGCATTTAATGGTTTGCCACCTGAGAAAAGATGTTCTTAGATCGTCATCTGGAAATATGGCAATAGATCGATGCAGTTGCCTCTGAAAGTTAAAAATGCGTGCGTAGGTTTGAACTGCAGTCTGCATCTCGGCCTTCGCTGCTCGCCCTCCAGTTTCAGCACCGGCCGCGCTGGAAGCGCAGAGCCTCTTTACGGCAGGGGGCCTGTGATGGCTCTTGCCTCTCCAGCCACAGCAGTCTGGTGCCCTCTTCACACTCAGGAGGCCCACGGCTTTCTCAGCAACTGCGGAATTTTTGTCCTGCTGGACTACCAAAAAAGAAGCTCTTGAATTATGTTCTGCGCTGTGTTACTTTACAACACGCAGTCTTTCTGCGTCCATCTCAGACTCAGACGCGTCCTGTGTGACCGCAGGGTGGATGAGCGCTGCTCTTGCTGACTCTGCCTCACTTTACTCTGGGTCTCACACGATTAAAGCCACAGGAAATCGGACTGGAAGAAATATTTATATAAAGGAAAACAGTGAATTAAAGTGCCAGGCAGTCGTCATTGACAACGTTACAGCCACAGCAGAGACTACAGAAGACTCAGGAACCACAGGCAGGTGACGTTCTGTTCGCCGTCTTCAGAGTGCAATCACGGCGCAGAATATGGTCACTGATGTCCTGGCAGCCAGCAGGAGAGGGTGCTGCATCCCAGGGAATTAGGAGCTGTCTTGCCAGGAACATGCTCATCTTGTTGATTTAAGATGGAAATGGGAGCCTTTCTGTGTTAAAGAAGCTGTTTCAATATGTGCAAGTCTCACACTATCTTTGTATGTGGCATTTCCAGCCCAACAGGCCCCAAATTCACTGAACCGATACACCTCGTTTTTCTAGATGGAAATTTGTACCTATCATTCATAGCTTAGGCAAATTGCAAAAAAACTTTTGTGTTCAACTATTGAAAATGTTGTCAGTACACAGCAAAAATTGACAAGTTTCCACTTACATTTTTGGCCTCTGTAGACTCAAAATTATGAAGCATTGTCTTCTTAAGGCAGTCTTGAACATTCTGCTGTTCGAAATTTGATTACCACAAATGATACGTTTGATTATTGGAAACAGTTCTCCTTTCTTCATGTGCTTTTCACTCTTTATTATGACTGGTTAGAAGATGAGTCAGCATGCGTGCTACGGCTCCGAGCTCACGATTGTTTCTTTCTTATAAAATTTTTAAGTTGCAGAGCTGATATTCTGCTTTGTCCCCATTTTCACAAGATGTGAGCAATTCACAAATAGAACATTTTTTTTGAAAGATTTATGGTCTAAATGGAGTTAAATAACTAAAAATAAAATACAATTTCTATAAGTTATTTCATCTGTTCCAAATAGCTGTGTACAAACAATTCTACAAAGATTAGAGATTAAAGATTAAATTCCTATTATTCTGCTTTGCATTATTATTTAAATCTTCATAAATATTTGTTGTTTCAAAAGGACGTATTTTGCTTCATAAAATTCTCCAACTAATGCATCTTCTCTTAATATCCATATTAACTATTAACGTATTTCCCCGTTTAACTTTTTGAAAATTCTTTGTCTTGTGGGTACAATGAATAATTTCCACAATCATTAATTATTGCAGCATTTTGCTTTTGCAGTAAGAAATACACATATATACTTTGGTAAACTGAGAGAATTTAAATATATGATGAGCAGAAGGAAATTTTCTACCTCAAGTTACAGCTACATATTTTAAAGTGAATGTTCAGATACTGACAATGTCTTGATGACCAGCCTTATTCATGTTACTGACGTTGTTGACCTCGTCTCATATAATGATAACTCGGTCCCCTGACGATTGATTGCACGCAGCTTCACAGATGACAGAAAGTATGCTGTAAAGTATTAGCTTTTTGGGACTTTCAAAGGCCAGGACTAACCCAATGCCAAACAGTAGATTCTGATAAATAGTAAAACTGAAGATCCACTTCAACATGTTGCTGAAGAGATTTGGAGAATAGAAAACAGTGGACGGGAGCTGGGGACAAGCTGCAGAAATGTGAGCCACAAACCACTCAGAACTCAGGAGAAACACGGAGACAGACGCAGAGAGCAGATGAAAACTAAAAGACAGCAATCTATAATTGCTATCTTCAGAAAGACAAAAGAAGATACCACATCCGTGAATTAAGAAATAGATGCCGTAAGAAGAAACAATTTGAGAATGGGAATGTACTGAATAGTAAACATTCAGTAGATGGATTGAAAGATAAAGCTGAAAATTTTTTTCAGAATATAAAATAAAATGTTAAAGAAATGGACAATAAGAATCAAAAACTACAAAAATAAAAGCTCAATCAAGGAGTTTCAACATCCAGAGAAAAAAGAAGAGAAAATGAAAGGGAGGAAAGCATCAACAAAGTACATGAGAACAAAAGGACATGAGTTTCCTGATTGAAATGGCCCATAAAATGTTCAGCACGCACAGACACACAGAAACCACAGCAGCTACAGCGCCCACGCTGATAAAGAGCGGAGGGGGCCTTTCAGGTGGGAAAACAGCTACGGAAAACAACCAGCGCACCCTGGGGTTGGAAGTTAGAACAGCATTGACCTTCAAGGTGCTGGCGAACAGCCACGTGGCGATGCTTTCCAAATCTGAGTGAAACGTTATATTCATCTATCTATTAATCAAATGTGGAGGGTAAAATAAAGATATTTTCTGGTTATGCAAAAACTGAAAGTGTCACCTATCATGCACTCTTTCTCAGGAAGCTGCTGGAGGAAGTGGCCGGGGTGCGAGGGGTGGGGTCACAGGTTCAAGAATATCCCCAGCAGTTTCCCACAGGAGGGGCCATGGTCTGGTGGGCACTGTGGCTGTGCGCCCAGTCCACTACCCGGTAGTCTAGACTGCTGCTTTCCAGGAGAAAGCTAACGCGAGCAACATACACAATTTAAATTTTCTATTAGCCATATCTTAAAAAGTAAAAAGAAATAAGTGAAATTAATTTTAATAATATACTTTATTGAAACCAATATATCCAAAACATTATCACTTCAACACTAATCCATATATTATTGAGATATTTTACATTTTTTTCACACTAAACCTTCACAATCTGTGTGCATTAAGCATTTATGGCACACCTCAACTCAGACCAGCCACATTTCAAGTGCTCAGTAGCCACGTGCAGCCAGTGGCTACCGTGTTGGACAGTGTGTCCTAGGGTATTATGTTTTTTAGCTGGTTGGCATCATGAGAAGCAAAGCAGATAAAGTCTTTAGGGACTAGGACACAAGACAGGCATATTTTACTAAGGCGCAGAGGGCAGACAATAGTGAAAAAATCTGAAAAATGGTTCGCCCAGATAGGATGCCCTACGTGGAAGCCTGGAAATGAGGGCGGATTCAGATTAGTGGTGCCAATTTCTGAGACAGGGGCCAAGGAAGAGAGGGCCTTCCTCCTGGGCAAGGTGAGCCCTTCCTTGATGTCATGGGTTCCGGTCCCTGCTTCTCAGGGCTGTTTCTCTACTACTTTTTCTCTCTCTCCTGTGTCTTCAACCTCATCCTCCGTTTTCTCTCCCAGTCTCCACCACTTCTTGTTCACAACTATCCCTTCTCCAGCTGCTGTCTTTTCTTGTAGACCCACTCTGTTCCACAGTGGGCACCACCTGTTTTTCTTCATTGCCCCAAAGTTCCATTGACTGTTGCCTGTTATAACCATTTTCAAAAATAATGAGATAATGGAGGTTAATTGCAGCTCAAGGAAGAAAACAACAATTGAGCATCAGACATTACTATTACAAGAATTTTTTTGGTGAGGAAGATTGACCCTGAGCTAACATCTGTGCCCATCTTCCTCTATTTTTTGTATCTGGGTCACAGCCACAGCATTGCCTTGATGAGTAATGTAGGTCCACGCCCAGCATCTGAACTCGTGAACGCCAGGCCGCAGAAGTGGAGCACACCAAACTTAACCACTACACCGCTGGGCCGGCCCCTGCAAGATAATTTTTACTGATCTACCATCCCTGCTCCAGAAAATTGCTCTTTGACTCCACCTACCCTCTTCTGATGTCACTTGAACTGCCCACCTCCCACCCCCATCTTTCTCCCCAGTGTCTGAGGATGACTTCCAAAGTCATGCAAAGTGTTCCAGCTCTCTCTTGCCTTTCTGAACGAGGTTTGCTCCTGACTTGGCATGTATAAGAATTCATTTTGGGGGACCGGCCCTGTGGGCAAGTGGTTAAGTTTGTGCACTCTCCTTCTGCGGCCCAGGGTTTCACTGGTTCGGATGCTGGGCACAGATGTGGCACGGCTCAGCAGGCCATGCTGAGGTGGCGTCCCATATAGCACAGCTAGAAGGACCCACAACTGAAATACACAACTATGTACTGGGGGGCTTTGAGGAGAGAAAGCAGAAGAAAAAAAAGAAGATTGGCAGCAGTTGTTAGCTCAGGTGCCAATCTTAAAAAAAAAAGAATTCATTTTTGGCTCAACTAACCAAGGAATTATTTGCTTTATGACTTTATCATGAAAGAAACAAAGAACTGGCAGAAACTTTGAAACTCCAGTTGTTCTTTAGTATAATCCAGGATAAAATTCTCAGGTACAGATCCTACGCACAGAGACCCCAGGGGTGTGGGCTGTTTCCTTCTTATAAATCATTATCCTACAAACTTTGCAAGTTGTGATTGTGTTTGCTCAGCTGTTCCACTGCTTCCACTGGTGTGTGCTGCTGGCAGAGCTGACAGTAAGCTTTTCCCTGGCCCCATAGCTCTTTGGTTGACCTTAGACCCTTGATCTCTAAGTGCTTATAGAGCTTTTAGGCCCCAAAGAGACATGCTGTTCCAGCTTTACTGTCTCCTCCAATTGAGGACCTCACGAAACTCCCTCATCCTTTGGCCAAGAGCTGCTGGAGGTCTGCCCTAATGGCTCCCCATTCCTGAGGCAGACAGGTGGTGAGGCCTCCTTACCATGGGATAAAGGGTCTTCGAGACGAGACGACCCACCTCTTATATCATTGATGAGAAACAAGCCTATGGAGGGAGTTCATTCGCGGTAGAGCCAACGCAGACCCAGAATTTCTGGTCTTGATTTCATTATTCTTTCCACTCCATAAAACAGAGGTGGAGAGGAGAGGCAGGGAGGCAGCAGACATACCTAAAGGCCACAGGACCACACAGTTCTGGGTGAGGAGGCAGCAAATCTTGAAGGACCTGAAGACCCACTGGCTTTAGGGCTCCCAGGCAGCTTCCTGCTGTGGAAATGACCACCAGGAGCCGGGTAGCTTGTCTGCAGGCTGTTCCACGAGCTGCAGCCTTTCCTGACCAGGCCAGGCCACTGTTCATTTCCCAGGGCCAGGCATCACTTCTCGGCAAGGAGGGCGACTCTGAAGGAGGGCCCCATCCCTAGGGCCTAGGAGCTTCCTCTTTGTCACCACTGTCATCTGCCAGGACCCCAGAACAGAGCTGTGGCTTCAGAGACACAGTGATGGATGAGTCGAAGGAGCCGGAACTGAAATGGGACGTCCTCCCAGACAGGCAGGAGGGGAAGGAGGAGCCACGGGGAGATGGAGCAGCCACAGCGAGGCAGGATGTGAACCAGAGCAAGGCTGACTGTGGGAACCTGAGGGCTGTAAGAAATAGAGTTGAACGTGCCAGACGCTGCAGAAATCAGAGGTGAGGCTATGGAGGACTGAGAAAAGTGGTTCCCTCAGGAAGTGGTTGCTGTGGTGGGAGAAGAGCCAGACGGTGAGGGAGGAAGCCAGGGGGCTGCGAGGGGATGGGGCAGCAGGAATTTGCCACTGGGAGGGAAAGGATAGTTTGCCATCTCTTCTATTAACTACAGATTAACTTACAGTGGCAGCATCTGCTCTGCTCAGTCACCCTGCAGGGGCTGGAGGCTGCGGCATAAAGAAAGGCATACGCTGTAGATGATGTAACGTGTGCGTGGTCCAGGGCAGGTGCTGTCGTGGTTCAGATGTAGCCTCTTCTGTAGGAATCCCGGGGAGAGTCCCGACTGCACCCCATGTGCAACTGACTTAACCCTCAGTGCCTGTCTGTCTCCATCCGAATCAAGGAGATGATGGTGCCCTCCTCACAGAGGAGTGGGGAGGTGAGAGGAGTCAATCTATGTAAAGCCTACACAGCACCCGCACACGGCAAGTCCAATATATGCTAGTCATTATCACCATAATTCAAGCAAATTATGTGTCTATTAGGAGAGGCATCAAGAGTCGGGATCTCTGAGGTCTGGGGGAAAGAAGGTGGCACATCCTGGGCATGCCTTGAAAACAAAGAACAATGAAACCTAATTGATTCAGACTGGTTGGAGCACACATCTCCTGCTTTTGCCTGGAAAGAATTGTTCTCTCTTTCTCTGATAAAACTGCCCAGCTTCCCTTTGGTCCCTCCCCATCCCTGGGGCTCTGGGCTGTTCCCTTCTCATCGCCTGAGGTAATAACTGAGGTCCCTCACCATCTCCTGAGGGTCTAACCTGGTCCTCCTCATCCCTGGGGTTCTGATCTGGTCCCTCCCCATCTCTGGGGTTCTCACCTGGTCCCTGTTTATCCCTGGGGTTCTGACCTTGTCGCTCCTCATCCCTGGAGTTCTGACCTTCTCCCTCCCCATTGCATGGGGTTCTCACTTGGTCTCTCCTCATCCAGGTCATGAGGATTTGGTTCTATTTCCCTCTGGATTTGCTAAGCTCATGGGATGAGGGGCAGGGCTGCTGACGGTCCTCTTACACCCGCTACAGAGAAAGGCTGCCCTGGGTGTGGAGAGCGAGTCAGAGCTCTGAGGAGACGACTTGAACCTCTGCCTCCTGCTGTGGAGGGACGACTTGAACCTCTGCCTCCCGCTGTGGAGGGACGACTTGAACCTCTGCCTCCCGCTGTGGAGGGACGACTTGAACCTCTGCCTCCTGCTGTCGAGGGACGACTTGAACCTCTGCAGCCCTACATGCCTGAAACTAGACACCCCAGACGCCCCGGACTTGGGACTTAACAGTTCTCTTTGTGCTTAACCTGTTCGAACTTGCTTCTCATCTTTGCAACTAAAAGAGTCTTAAAAATAATAAAAATAATAGTCACTGTAAATAATAATTGTAAAGGATAATAACAGTCATAAATGCCATTTGAGTATATCCCTAACTTCTGGATGTACCCCAATTACATATTTTATTTCTTACAGAATGTTTTTGTCTGCTCACTGATTACAGAACAATAATAATAATTATTCCATTCATGTCTGATCTCTCTGCCAGCCTGACAACAATTATTAGGTTAAGTAATTTGTCCAAGGAATAAGGAGCAGAGGTGGGATCCACACTGGATCTGTCTGTGTGTGATATCTGTGTCTACCGCAGCAGGCCTCCAATTCCCCTTGGGCTCTGAATGCTTCTTTGGCATTACGATGAAAGTCAGTGAATAAATAGGTTACTTCAGCAAAATTCACTTTAAATGACTTTTTTCTCTTTCTTTGGTGAGGAAGATTGTCCCTGAGCTAACATCTGTGCCGATCTTCCTCTATTTTGTATGTGGGATGCCTCCAGAGCATGGCTGATGAGCTGTGGGTAGGTCCGCGCCTGGGATCTGAACCCATGAACCCCAGGCCACCAAAGTGGAACATGTGAACTTAACCAGTACACCAGGCATGCCCCTAAATGACTTTTTTGAGTCAAATCCTTTTTGAGAGTTACAGTCAAAAGTGGTGCTTTACATTACATTCCTGCCTGAGCCATGCCTCTGTCGGTCACACCAAAGTCTTCATTTCCAAGAGGAAAACTTGGTTTTCTCTCCTGGGAGGCGTGAAATTAATGCCCCTTTTACAGTGACTTCTATGTCAGGTAATTACGAGGGAACAGGGCTGGGAGGGCCTTCACGTGGCGTGAACTCCAGTGGGGAAGACGCACACACCGTGAGCTGAATCTCCTGCAGGCCAGTGAGATACGCACCACCATCAGCACAGACAATGGACCACAGCCACAGAGGCAGGACCAAGTGTTCGCGGGATGGGTGCATCAGGGAAGGAAGACTGCAAGAGGGCAAGAGGGCAGTGCTGAGCTGTGTCTGGGGCATGAGAAGAATTCCTCAGAAGGAAGTACGTTCAGGTGACCCAAGAGTTCACAGTCGAAGCTGGACCCTAGAACTCTCTGATGTCTCGAGGTTGGCCTGCCGTCTGCAGACGCCGCATGGGGAGCCAGGAATACAACACAGGCGTGCAGCTTGGCGGAGACAGGGCAGCTAGGTGGCAGCATAGGGGCGATGAGTGTAAACCTCAGTGAGCGCAGGTGCCGGGAGCAGTGGCCACGTCCTGGGCGGTCAGAGACGTCCGGATGAGACCTGATGGGTGGTCGGGCTGGCAAGCTGTTTGCTAGAACATTCCGAGGTGGGCTGGAGCCTGGAGATGTGTTGGGAGAGCATGCAGGGCCCAGAGGGAGACCAGTAAAGACTTGGCTTTGCCCCTAACCTCTCGGCTGCCTTTGACGTTGGGCAGACTGGATCAGAGGCTGTGACAAACGACTCCAGTTGTCGGCCTCCCAGCTCCCACTATTTCATCCCAGCTCCCAGGCTGAGCCACACAGGCTCCGAGTGGTCTGTTAGGCACAGTCCCCATGGCCTTCAGCTCCTTCTGTGTGGACAGCCTGCAGGAAGGGCCGGGAGACCATGAGGAGACGGCCCCTCCACACCTGACCCCGTGGCATCTCTTCCCTTCTCTCTCCGTCTTCTCTGAGCTGTGTGCACGCAGCTCCCCCTGCCCTTTCCTGTCACCTCGCCACACGGTGGCTTGGTAAGAGGGGAGAGGATGAGAGGCAGGGCTCTGCTTCTCTCCCGCCTGTCCCCTGCCTGTCCCCTCCCCTCAGGTCTCCACTGGGGCACCAGCTTGCCACCATGGGGACACCTCCCGTAACCCTGGTCTCCCGGTCAGTCTCCGATATCTGCGTCTGAAGTGTGAAGAGGCCGTCCTTGGAGCCTCTGTATGCGGACTTTGTCTTTCTTCATGAGACTCAGTGAAAAGAGAATGAGGCACAGGGACAGCCTTTAATCCCGGTCTGCCTACTTTATGATACGTGAGGACCCTCGGAGCAGTTTTTTAAAAAGATTGCTTTCTGGATAGAAAATCAAGAGAACACTCTGGGATTGTAGTTTGTTCCTCAGTGGACAGGTCAGCCAGCAGCTGAGCCCTGGGGCTGCTGGGAGACTGGCGGCAGGAACACCTCACATGTAAGTGACACCAGCGATTGTCACCAGAGACTTTATCCTCGGGTTTTATCACGATAGCAGTTCATTGTCCTGGGTGCCAGTCACTAAAGAATCAAACACACTTAGATCTAAAAGTGGCTGCAGGAAGCGTGGCTGTCAAGAACACCACCGCCACATCAGCCAGGAAGCCATTCTGCGAAGGTCCTGCCGTGCTACCTGCTGTGATTGATGGTGACCGCCAGGGAGCAGGAGAGGACAAGAGTTTCCCTCTGAAGGACCCTTGTGGAAGCGCTGCTGGCCTCCCTGGTTCTTTTCCAGCGTCTCTGTGTGATCTGGTTCAGGCTCGCTCTTCACGAGGGGCCTTAGAGGGAATTACAGGGCCATCCCCGAGGCAGGAAGGCTATCTAGAGCCATGATTCTCAAAACGTGGCTCCCAGATCCTGGGGGTCCTGAGATCCTTTCAGGCAGCCCATGAAATCAAACTATCTTCACGCTGCTACCAAGACAGAATTGGCCTAAAATTTTCTCTGGGTTGTTATCTGTACCAACAGCCCAGAAATGATGGAGATTAAAACTGCTGGCATCTCACCATGAATCAAGATGCTGGCACCAAACTATTGTTGGCAGTTGATGTATTCTTCACCACCAAAAATCTGCAATTAAAAAATGTGCGTTTCACCTGAGTGTCCTTAATCAAGCAGTGAAGTGATTCATTTTATTAAATCTCGACCCTTGAGCTCGCCTCGTTTTAACACGCAGTGTGACAAAATGGGAGCCCACGTGAGGCTCTGCTGTGTCAGAAGGTGGAGGACGGTCACTGGAAGGAAAACATTTGTGCAACCTGAACAAGATTCCCTTCTTGTGGAATACCATTTTTCGTTTAAGAAAGAAAGTCTGGCCAAGAGAATTATGGTTTCTCAGACTTCAGTATTTGGCAGATATTTTCTCAAAAATAAAGTGAGCTTGTCCCTTTAAGGAAAACAACTAACAGTATTTCTGCCAATGATAAAATTTGAGCTTTCAAGTGAAAATTAGAAATCGGGAAAACTTGTATCTATCACAGTGAGCTTTGCAAGTTCCCTATATTCGAAGTTGTTACTTTTTTGATGAATTTGATGGTGATATTAATGAATTTCGTATTTTTGAAATTGTACAATGAAACGCGTCAAGGTTTTGAAGATCTGTGTAACTCAGTGAACCACTATTTCGCCCTACGCCTGACTGAAAGATCTATTCAAAGCGCAAGATAGATCAACGGGTTTCACTGTAACCAAGCACGAAGAGCTCACTGATTTGGTCTCAGATCCCATATTATCACTAATCCCTAATAAACTAGTTTTGGTATTTGGTGAACTGTCAAGGATCCACAGCCACAAGCGTATCTGAGAAGCTGTTGCGACACCGCTCCCGTTTCCAACCGCTTCTCTGTATGGATTTTCTCCACATACTTCGACCTAAGCAATATGTCACCACAGACGGTGCCGAGCAGACACGGGACGCCGACAACCGCTAACCACTAACGCCACCGTGTTTTGAATAGATGATCAAGGATGTGGACGTCTTGTCCTTCTATCACTACAGATAAACACGCTTTCTCCTTCATCTGCACACTCTCTTCTTTAGAAAACAAAAGATCTCGACCAAGATAATTTTACTCGGCTGTCTATGCTTTGCTAACAGCAGTATGACAATATCACCTTATATTGTAACTGTTTTATAGCTCACAAATACCACAGGGTCCACTCAAATACCCTGAGGAAAATGAGGTCAAGACGAGATTTACCCACCGGCGGATAGTAAATAGCAGGAGCCTAACTAAGACTTGGACTTTATGATTCAAGGCCATCTGCTGAGCTACTAAATGCTCCTTCTGGAACGTCGTTCTCCACAGGCCGCCTGTTAGAGGAGGGAGGCAAGAAATGGAAGAAGCCAACCAATTCGGCATTTAGCAAACACCGCGTCTGTCCCGCTGAGGCAGGACTGCAGAGGGGGATTCTCGTGTGTGGCGGATGAGGGCTCTGAACTACATGCAGACGGTTCAGATCCTTATTCAAGTGGCGGGAGTTGTGGGCGTAGGAGATTCATGTTTGCTTGAGTCAAAGGCAGCACCTCTTCCAGTGGAAACCTCAGAGGTGCTGTTTTTAATCTCTGCCAGGCGAGTGAAGTGGCCGTATCCTGGTCATGGGCACCCGGCTTCCTTTTAAGCTGCTGTGTCTGCACTCTCCCCACTTGTTGTATCTTTGTTTCAAGTATAAACAGGCAAGAGGATAAAATCAAAGGAAGGAAGCAGTGTGTGCAATCAAATGGCAATTTCTTCAAGGCTGAGAGTGGTTGACGTCATCTGTCATCAGCGTCTCTTCCATTTACTCAGTTTCCTCATTTATACAACTCCTCCCCTAAAGACGTGGCAGCTTCAACAGTGTTAGCATTTGTATGATCAAATGGTCAAAGCAGTTTCATAATCAGATGTCCGTGGAGCCTCAGACCCTACCTCTGTGAGGAAAGCAGGCTGGGTGTTATTGGCGTGTGGCGCGGTCCAAAGCAGAATTGCTTAAAAGTGCTGTGCGAGATCCCTCTAGGTGCCTGGAAAACGAGCTGGGAGGATGGAGCAGAAGTACCCCTGCGCAGCCTCCCACAGGACCAGCACCACCTTCCACGTGGAGACCAGGAGGCACCAGAACCCAGTCTCCCCAAACCAAGGAGCCAGTGTTTCTGATTCAGTCATTTTAGAGTGGGCCCGAGAATGTGCATTTCTACCAAGTTCCCAGTAGAAGCTATGGTCTGAGGGCTACCCTTCGGGAACCACTGCTTTAATTCATACCATAAACATTTGCAGAATTGGTCTACAAACCTATTGGACCTGGGTGACATCCGTGTCCACAAAGGAACCCACCTTTTATGATAGTCCTTTTTACTGATAGTGAATGAATGAACAGGAAGATGAATAGGGATTAAAGGATTTGTCCAAGGTCACTCTGACAGAAATTTGGTATAGCCTGAATTAGACCCACAATCTTCTGATTCCTATCAAGTCTAGTTCCTAAAGTTGTTCGTCTTTCTGTAACTTTCTTTAACCGCGGAGAGGGATGATTGGCAATGCTTGTTAAGTGTTCAACAAACGTACGTTTAGTTGAACTTTTTATTGAGCAAGATCTAAAGAAATAACAAAGGAAAAATAATCCTCCCTATATTTATCCATGACACATTGTGGGAGATAGAAATGTCTTTCAGTATCCTAATAACGTCAAGGG